ATGTGTCAGAGTAGAACTGCCGCATAGGGTTTCCTGGGCTGTGGTCTTTACAGGAGCAGATCGCCAAGTCATTTCTCCTGTGAAGCTGCTGTAGAGTTCAAACCACCGACCTTCCAGTTAGCAGTTGAGCACTTAATTGTTAGGGCCTGCAAATTCTGTAGCCAGTCCTGCCTTGAAGAGCAGCAGGGGCCAGTGAGAGGATAAAAGGGGAAGAAGGGAGATCAGTGCTTCTTCAGCTCACTAGGCAAGGACTAGCCCAACAGACGCTTGGGTCTGGGAAGAAGGCCGTGGGGGCATAAGATCAAAGTCTGTGAACTCCTGGGCCCCAGGAACAGGTGGGTTTGAACTTATTCACAGAATTCTCCTCCCCACCAAATAAATATGTTGGTTGAGCGCTCTGGCTAGGCTTGATGCCGAGAGCTTTGCTTATACCTTTCAGTTACATCCTGTAAGTGGGTATCCTGGGGTAACCAGTTACTGTTGAGTTGACCCCATGTGTGTCAGAGTGGAACTGTACTCCACAGGGTTTTCAATGGCTGATTTTTCGGAAGTGGATTGCCAGGCCTTTCTTCTGAGGTGTCTCTGGTTGTACTCGAACCTCCAACCTTTTTATTAGCAGCTGAGCATATTAACTGTTTGCATGTCCCGGGGCCCATTCCAGGGTAGGAGCCCTTATTGTCCCCATCAGACAGACAAAGGCCAAGGTCTGAGCTCACTCCTCTACTACATGTTGCAAAGAATTGAGGGTCTGCCTTGAAGTCTAAGGTTATTTCAGAACAACAGGAAATCTTACAGGGTGTAGGGGAGGCAGTAACTTTATGGAATTCACTGCTTAAGAGCATGTATGATCCAAAAATATGAGATTAAAAAAAAGAAAAGCCTTCCGATTAAGTCAGGGATCGAAAATCTGTGACTTTTAGAGACACAGCTCTCAAGTGGCTCCAGAAGTTTCCATTTATTGCAGTTTACAGCAGGCAATATGCATTAATACACTTAATTGTCACAAAAACCTTGCAAGGTGGGTGTGATTATCCAGTTAACCAACTAAACCGATTCCCACTTATAGCGACCCTATAGGACAGATTAGAATTGTCCCATTTGAGCCCTGATGGCACAGTGGTTAAGAGCGACAGCTATTAACTAAAAGGTCGGCAAATTGAATCCACCAGCTGCCCCTTGGAAACCCTATGGGGCAGTCCTACTCATAGGGCCTCTATGAGTCAGAGTCGACTTGACGGCAATGGGTTTGGTTTTTTTTTATAGGGTTTCCAAAGCTGTAATCTTTATGGAAGCAGACTGCCACATGTTTCTACCACAGAGCAGCTGGTGGGTTCGAACCACTGACCTTTTGTTTAGCAGCCAAGTGCTTAACCATTGTGCAACCAGGGCTCCTTGAGTTGGTATCGACTTGACAGCAATGGATCCACAGTTTACTGATGAGAAAATGGAGGGTCAGAGGGTTTATGACTTGTCTAAGATCATAGAGCTAGTAACTGGTGCTGAGATCGGATCCTGGGCTGCTCCGTGCCATCCTGGGATCTGAGGGGGTTCACGGGGACCAGACCATGCCCACACTGGCCTTGTGGTGATTTGAAAACATGATGCCATTGGCAGCAGGGTCATTTATTTATTCTGAGTAATTTTCCACATGAGACACTGCTCATCTGCCAACTCATGAGGCTTGTCACCTGCCCGTGACGGGCTTGGGCCTTTGGGGGCTGGGGAAAGAAGAGGGAGCCCCAAGCTTGGCTCAGAGATTGAGCGAGAAGGGCCATTCTGGTGCTGGGCCCCACTCCCCAAAACAAGCCCTTTAGCTTTTGGAAGTGAAAGGGGGCCAAGGCAAGAGCAGAGTTTCTTTCACAAGTTTGCTTTTTGCCTTAAAAACAACAACAACAAAAAAAAAACTTGTCCAAGCAAGTGCATCCACTGTGAGAGGACAGAAGTGAGTGCCTTGCAAGACAGCAGGCTGGGCACCAGGGTTGCAAAGGCACAGGGCCGCTGAGAAATTCTGACAGGGACCTGACCCTCTACCCACCGGTAGCCCACCCTGTGGGGGAACGGAAGCACCAGGCCAACGGTCATTACCGTCATCCTTAGCCCATTGCTGCTGGCTCTGGCGCTGCAGGGCGGGGGGTCCCTGGGAGGACCCTGCGGTCTTGGGGACTGGTGGTGCATGCTTTAGAAATGTGGGTTCAGATAAACTGCTGCCTGGGTTCCCTGGGAGTTGGCCGTGTTTGGGGCCAGATAGGAGATGGCCTTCTAGGCGGGCATCACCATAATTTGTGAGCTTCTCAGTGAAATGGACAGTAAGAGGAACAAAATCATTTCCCTGATTGTTCTTCCCTGTTGTTGTTGTTAGCTGCCATTGAGTGACTTTCGACTCATAGCAACCCTGTATGTCATAGTAGAACTGCCCCATAGGGTTTTCTTGGCTGTAATCTGTAAGCAGATTGCAAGGTCTTTCTCCTGTGGAGCCGCTGAGCAGGTTCAAACTGCCAACCTTTCAGTTAGCGGCTGAGTGCTTAACCGCTGTGGCACCAGGACTCCTTATTCTCCCTCAGTGACCCCAGCTTTGCTCGTGGTAACACCAAAGTCATGCGTCTCAGTGGGGGAGGAATGCATTCTGGAAACCATCGTGTTCCTGGAGAGTACCTGAGCATACGTAGGTGTGCGGACTGAATACTGGCGTAAGTGTCCTGAGCGTCAGCATTGCAGGTGCCAAGTTGCGAACAGCACTGGGCAAAAGCCAGGCCACCTGCGTCCCTGCCCCCCACTTAGCCAAACCCCCGTGGGAGGAGGTCCTTCACTCCCAGCTTGGCTTTCGTCTGTACAGTAGGGTTGGATGGAGGTGATTGTCTGTGAGTCTGTGCTTCAAAGAGGCCCCAGCCTGGGGAGGTGGGCTCTCCCGATGCTGCTGTGCCCACTGCCACACGGGAGCATGAGGTCTGTGTGCCACAGAGCAGCTCGGGACAGGCTGAGAGTTATTATTATAACAACAACAACAACGACAATACTAGCAGCCACTGTTTACGGGCATTTGCTTTGCGGCTGTGTTTTCAGGTAGTGACAAGGCCCGTGTGGGCATGCTCTGGTCCCCGTGGGCTTCCCAGTGCGGGAAGGTAGCAGGGTAGGTGATTAAGGGCCACAGCTTCAGGATGGTGCAGACCAGCTGGGATTCAATCTCAGTGTGGGCTACTAGCTCTGTGATCTTGGGCAAGTCACAAACTCTCTGACCGCCCCCACCACCTTTGTCTCATCAGTGAACTCTGGATAATCACGCCTACCTTGCAAGGGTCTTGTGATGATGAAATACATTGGTATATATAGTGCCTAAAAAAACCAAAAACCGGTTGCCGTCGAGTCAATTCTGACTCATAGCAATCCTGTAGGACCGAGTAGAACTGCCCCATAGAGTTTCCAAGCAGTGCCTAGGTTGATTTAAACTGCTGACATTTTGGTTAGCAGCCATAGCACTTAACCACTATGCCACCAGCGTTTCATTACTGTGCCTGTGAACTGTGCCTGGTGCACAGTAAACAGCAATAAGTGGGAACTTGTGGAGACCCTATGAGGGCAGCAGCAGCAGTAGTGGCTGCGCCTGTAACACTAAGGGGGTTGCAGTCCTCCTGGTGACCCCAGGAGGGATGTGTGGGATGAGTCTGGGGTCCAGAGAGGGCCGGGACCGTGTCCACTGTCTCAAGCCAGTGCGGTGGCAGCTGAGACCTGCAGCAGCACGGCTTGTGGGTTTCTGTGTCTGAGCTCCGGAGCCCTGGGCCTCTGCTCCCACCCTGGGAAGGCTAAGCCCCCTCAGCCTTCCGGCAGGTAAATGCAAGGCAACTACAGGGCAGGGGTGGGAGGGGAGGTTCTGTGTAGAAAGTGCAGTGCTGCTGCAGCAAAGCCCTCCGAGGCCCAGTTCAGGAGCTGGTATGAAGCTGCCCCTGAGGCTGGGGCTGAGCCCAGCGTTGGGAGGGCCCTGGTCCAGTCGTCCTTTGTTCTTTCTAATGTTCTAAAAATGGGTGCCAACCAGACAGGGGCCATTCTGGCCATGGCAGCTGCGTTGCTGCTTCTCCTAGGCAAGCGTGAGCTGAAAGACAGGCGGTGGGTGGAGGGGAAGGAAGGGGCCCCTTAGCCCCCTGGGCCCCAGGAGCTCTCCCCGGCACTGATGCCAGTCTGGGCAGAGGGGCTGGGGAGGCTGGACCCCGTGTGGCAGTAGCTGTGGCAGTGAGAGTAGCCCCCACGCCCCATGCTGAGGAGTCTGGGGGTCTAGCTCCCGTGCCTTTCACCACAGCGCTGGGGGCAAGGGCCAGGATCCCCCCTTTCACAGCTGAGGACACTGAAGCCCAGAGAGAGCAAACATTTGCCCAAGGTGACACAGCTGGTTAGTGGAGGGGCCGGGAATCACCCTCAGATCTGCTGACCCCAGCTTCCTGTCGGGCCCTAGAGAAGGAAGCTTGCTGCCTCTCTGGGGCAGGTGCAGGCGGGACCCACCCCGCCCACCACTGACACGCTGCGTGGCCGCCGAGGAGTCACCCAACCTCTGGGAGCCCATGATCTCTACCCTGCCTGAGGTCTGCGGAGGCCAGCACTGTGAGCTGGTGGGGCACGCTGCTCAGCCTGGCACCCAGCCTGCATCAGGACTCCCAGTACTAACCACCAGGCTCCTCTAAGTGGTGCGCCCCGCTCCCAAAGCCCAGCTGGGATCAGCCCCCATCTATGATGGTTTCAGTCCTAGGGGGAGACTGATCGGAGATGGAGCGAGAGAAGGGGATATGGCTTTCGAGGAGGGCCATGTCTGGGGGAGCCCCACTTCAGCCAGCATATTGTATATCTGCTTACTGTCTATCCCCAGAGATGGTAAGCACCCCCATGGACAAAGAGGACAGGGTCAGCTTTGTCTATGCTCTATCCTCAGGGTCCAGGACAATCCCTGGCCTACCATACGGTGACAGAAAAGCCTTGTTGAGTGACTGAGTGTGTGACCTGGCCTTCCTTGTCTCCAGGTCCAGCTGGGAGCTCCCGGACCTCCAGGAGGGCAAGATTGAGGCCATCAGTGACTCGGACGGGGTGAACTACCCCTGGTACGGCAACACCACGGAGACATGCACCATCGTGGGCCCCACCAAGAGAGACTCCAAGTTCATCATCAGCATGAATGACAACTTCTACCCCAGCGTCACGTGGGCCGTGCCGGTCAGCGAGAGCAACGTGGCCAAACTGACCAACATCTACCGGGACCAGAGCTTCACCACGTGGCTGGTGGCCACCAACACCTCGACCAACGACATGATCATCCTGCAGACACTGCACTGGCGGATGCAGCTCAGCATCGAGGTGAACCCCAACCGGCCGCTGGGCCAGCGGGCCCGGCTCCGGGAACCCATTGCCCAGGACCAGCCCAAAATCCTGAGCAAGAATGAGCCCATACCACCCAGCGCCCTGGTCAAGCCCAACGCCAACGACGCACAGGTCCTCATGTGGCGGCCCAAGTATGGCCCGCCGCTGGTGGTGATCCCGCCCAAGCACCGGTAACGGCCATGGCACTCGGTAGGTTAGACTCACAAACAATACTACTCAGAACGAACCCAGACACACTCTGTCATTCAGCAAAATACAACCATTCTACCTTTCCCAGCGGGACGGATCTCACTGTGCTAATGCCCAGGATGGCCTCCCCCGGCTCTCTCAGAACCGCTTCCTTGCGGGGAAGTGGGGAGACCCAAACGGGACAGACAAACCCCACATGTGCCCCTCAGTGTCACCTCTGATCTGCTTCCCTCCTTTTCTCAGTTCCATTCACTTGCAACAGACTCCCAGAAACAACTGCTTTTCTAGTTCTTTTTCTTTTTTTAACTCCTCTTTATGAGGTTCAGGGGTGGGAGGAGGAGGAGCCGATGATGCAGGAAGCTGAGCCGTGGATCCATCAGCCCGATGGCACTCGCGGGTGACTTTGCCGAGAGCAGGGGTCTCCCCGTCACGGCTCCCCCTCGTCCTCCGTCATGCGGCCTTACATAGACTTGCTTTGCCAAACTTTTGCCTTAAGCTGAATTTAAAGGGAAAAACAAAACGGGACAAGAAAGCAGGATCTCTTTTCTACTGGACTTTTCGTCTTTCTGCTGGAGGTGGAGGGAGAGGAATTGGGTCTGAGGTGAGAGATTCAGGAGCTTCTCTTCTTGGCTGCCCTGGAAGAGATTTAGACCTAAAACCAGCTGCTCATTCTTTCATTTCAGCAGGAACAAAGCCACAGACAGACCCCGCCCAGAGAGCCCCTCTTCCCTCCCCCAGTAGAGCCCCCACCCCTGGTACCTGCAGAGAGGGGCTGTGAGCTCTGGCCCCCAGAAGGTCTGCCGTGGGGCCCCTTTTATCTCCTCTGTCTTCTCGGCGGCCTTAACTTGCCTCGGGGGGGGTCTAGGAGGAGAGGGAGGGGTCCACGAGCTGGAGGTTGAGCCCAGGGAATTTCATGATCTCAGTCCTCAGTGCCCACCCGAGGTCCACGGCACCTCCTCACAGTGTGGGGCTGTCCCTTTTCCATCCGCACTGCTCCCAAATGCCTGCAAGGCCGGCCACCTTGACCGACAGGACACAGCCCCAGGGTTAGTCACCAAGATAAGGAAGGCACTCTCGCCTCTTCTTGCAACTGCGTTGTCAGACTTTAACCTGGGGGGGCTCACATCCTTCTAGGGGATACTCCTCCCGGGCTCTCTGGGGGGATGCAGACAGGCTCTGCATCCACACTGATGAGCATTGCGGGGGGTATTCCAGAGGAGGGCAGCCAAGCCATAGGTGGTCCCGGAGCTGGAAAGTCTGGGAGGCCATCCATCAGCAGAGTCTCCTGCTGCTTATCGCCAGGGCTGGGGAGGGTGCGGTGAGCCCATGGCAGACAGGTGTCAGAGCCACTCAGGAGGCTCGACCAGCCCAGCGGTGGCCTGGGGACGCTGCTCAGGTGGCCGGTCCTTGAGGTCCACCCTCACTTGGGTCCTGGGCTCTCTGGGAGCCCTGGGACTTAGTCCTGAGCGACACCAACATTTCATAGCAATGTCTGGAGCTATTTGGGGACACCCTGCTGAAGCCATTTTCCTGCAAGCTTGCCAAAACCTGTAGCCACATCACCTGGGCCCTATATTCAAACCAATAATAATCAAGCATAGAAAACTATCAGATAAGAAACAGAATCCATGTCTGCTGCAGATGAGCCACTTGAGGAGTCTCAGTGACAACTTGGGAGGGTGTGGGTTGCCTGCATCCTTGCTAGACTCCCTCATCCACGTGATATTACATTTATTCAAGGGGTGCTTAATGTCCACTCAGTCTCCCAAGCCAAGCTCATGCCAGGAGACTGGCAGGAGTGGTCCAGAAATGAACTGGACTGGGAACACTGGCGGTCACCGAGGGTGGACAGCAGGCGCGGTGCTTAGGGACCCCTGTGTTGCGACCGGGACCTCCTCTCTGGGAACTGCTGTTTCCTCTTTGCGTGTTTGGAGCCTGGGCCACCCAAAGAGGCTGTAGCCTTGAGTGGGGGGAAGGTGGGGTCCCCAGCTCCACCTCTGAGGACAGGCGGGGGTGGGAGGGCGGACTTGGTCTCTAACTGGGGCGGCCCTTCTCTGTACTCAGGTCTTTCTTGCACTAAAGAGGAGAAAGGGCCCTGGGCGAGGGGTCCACTAACCTGGGTTCTGAGCCGGGTCATCATTAAGGGGTTCTTACTGGGGTGATGGTGGGGGAAGGGGAAAGAACAGTGGGGTGTGACCTGAGCTGTCTGAGTGCCCCCAGCCTGCATGATTCTGAGGCAGGGGCAGCACTGAGCCCATTTTGAGGGAAGCCACGTCTGCTCTGGCTGCCTCTGCTGCTGCCCCCACCCCACATGCCTGGCCCCCAGCTCTCCCTGACCCCTGGTTCCCCATCACCCCTGTGCCCCTCTTTCTCCTCCCTCCCTGCCTCTCCCAAGATGGAGCTGGGAAGGCCCTGGAGAGGCCGAAGGTCCGAGCAAGGGTGCTCAGCCGAGCTTGGGTGCAGTTACCAGCCTCCTCCTCCATGTCGGGAGCTCAGACCCCGGGCTGCCCCCCGGCCCCGAGTCCTCTGGCGTCCTCCCCGACTTGGACACTCATCCTTCCAGCAATAAGAACTGTCCTTGGTCGTGGAGAGTACTGTGAAAACAAACCAATGCACTTACTAGGAAGCACGAGACTCTTGACGAAAATGTAAAAAGAAACTTTTTTTAAAAAAAATAAAGAGAAATAAAATGTAATTTTATAGTAGGCCTGGCGAGGGTCTGGCTCTTTCTAAAAGGTCGTGGTGGTTCCTTTTGGTGTTGAGGGCTCTGGGGGCTGCGGGAGTGACCGAGTTGGAGGGGAGGGGGCGGAGGACAGTCTAAGGCTGGGTGTTGTGGCTCTAACGGCCTATGGACAGACCAGGGGGAGCCCAGCCACTTCACTAATGGATTTGTTCCTTCCCACCGCTGTGGTCCAAGCCCCCGTCTCCATCAAAGGCCAGCTCTGGGACCTCAGTCCTAGGCCAAAAAGTGCCACCTGGCTGGTGCCCTGCGTGGAGGGGAATGGCAGACTTGGGGTAGAGCTAGGACCTGGGCGCAGCTTGGCTTTTTGGCAAACAGTGGAAACCCGTATGACAAGGGTGGTTAGTGTTTAGTTTGGGATGTAACCCAGGCCACGCTGTGGACCTGCAAATCTGTCTTCATATGGTCATACAGCTGCTAGGACAATGTCAGCCTAAAGCACAGCTCTGTGTCCCATCCTCAGCAACATATGAGAGGGGGTTGCATGGCGTCAATACACTGGTAGAAACTCCTCTCCTAATAGAACCTTTCTTATATAAAGATGGGCACTGGGGGACCCCAGAGGTCCTGGAGTAGGTGCAGGCTCTGAAGGTGGACTGTGGGTTTAAGCCCATTTGTGTGAGCTTGGGCAAGGCATACAGCCCCCCAGAGCCCCATTTATCTCATGTGGAAATGGGGATTCTGTGAGGAGCCACCTCATGGCTGACAGGGTGTGAAAACACTGCTCTGCTCTGTTTCTGGGTATTAACTCATTGAACCCTCACAGCAACCCCACCAGGGGGGTGTTATCATTATCCCATTTTACAGATGAGGAAACTGAGGAAAAGCAGGGTCAAGAAGCTGCCCAGGGCCACACGTAGTGAGAGGCAGGTTCAGGCCTGCAAACCCCAGTTTCGGAACCCATGCTCTCACCATTGCATGCTCCCAACCCAACACGTGTGGCGGTGGTGAGCACATATTCGAGGCTCAATAATAATTGGATACTATTATTAAGAAGGCCCATGCCTTTGCCCTCTCCATCCTGAGATTCCAGGGCAGGAAATGCCTTTTTCTCCCCCCACAGGAAGTCTTTCTGCAGTCAGCCCTCTTCTCGCCCACAATGAGCCCATCTCATTGCCTTTGAAGAGGGACCTCCCAGTCATCTCCAGACCAGAGGCTCATCCTCTTGGGTGGGCAGCGGCCCCTTGCATCATTACAGAGGACAAGGAGCTTGTCCTCAGAGATTGGGTTTCTTCTCTGGGTTCCCCACGTTACAGCAAACCCAAGTGCTTGGTCCCCGAATCCTGCCTTCTGGGTCTGAGACACCAAAGCAGGAAGTTGCGTAATTGCCTTCTTTGGCTGCCCTCCACCCAGATGGTTTATGGGCGGTGCTGTTCACAGCAGTGGTTTGGCTTTTGGTTGTGGAGTTGGCTCCTGGGCTGTGCCCACCAGAGACCATGGTGTGTGTGTATACACGTGTGTGTTTTGGGGAGGGGGGGAGTTGGGAAGCAGAGAACAAAGGTGCAGCCCTAACCAACAGCAGGAGAAAGCAGTGCTCAGGAGTGTGAATCTTCAAGCTGACAAGCAGTTGAGGGAGGATGGGAGATGGCAGCCTGCATTTGTGGGTAACGACTTTGAGGGGGGGAGTTGCAGGAAGGGGGTTTACGAGTAAAGTGGATTCCAAGTGGCATTTAGTCACACGGTGGGAGCCCTCCAGCCGCTCAAGCTGATAGCAGGGTAAATTTAGAAGTCCCAGACTGGGTTGAGAGACTCAGACACCAGACGCTACTCAGCTGTTGCAGATCCCCTCCAGGAACTGGGGTGGGGAGAGCAGCTGTCTGGGCTGGCGTGGCTGACCTGCCCCAAGACATCTGGGAGAAGCAGCCACACAGCCGCCTTGTGGTGACCCCGCCTCCCCCTTTTCACCTTCCCCCCTCTCAAGTAACTTCTCAGTAGAGCCCAACCTCTGCTCCAGGGGACATAGAACACCTGCAGCCTGGGCCTTGAGGCCATAAAGGAAACCCCCCCTTCAGGTCCAAAGCGGAGACAGTTTCACTGCGGACTGCAGAAAGGTGACAGCATGTGGTGCTCTCTCAGGTTCTGAAAATGTCTAACAACTGGATGATCTTTCTATAACCTCTGGCTTTATCTGCCTCTTGGTCATCAGCTGCCCAAGACAAGCTATCCTGCTTGCATGGTCCCAAAGAAACTATTTCCCACCTGGTTAGAGTCCGGGCATTCGATTAAAGCAAATGTTTTGGGTAACAAAAGGCCACCACGCACACGATCCAAAAATTATCCATCGAAATCATTAGGACACAACCACATACTGTGAAGATCCCCATGTGGACAGAGGGCACTCTGGTGAGGCCACCATTGATCACACTGAACTTTGTTCTTCCTTTTTTATAAACAAGGAAGCTGACTCTCAGAAATAGCTGAGTGACTTGCAAAAGGTCACTGGGCTAGAAAGTCACAGAGCTGGGCTTGTTCCAAATACCTGTCTTTTGACCCTGCATTGGTGTTCTTTCTGCTACACCACATGGCCTTTTGCTAGCCTAATTCTGCCGGGCTGCCTTTAATGGTTCTTTTCCTAAATGTGGTACAGAAGTTCCGTTGCATGATGACGAATACGAGCCACAGGCTGCCCCATTGGCGCTGGGCGACGGAAATTATTAAATACAAGAGAATGCATCTGAGCAAATGAGCTCAGTCTCTGTGTATGTGTCCAGAGAGGCAAACCCACAAAAGTGGCACTTGGTCCCAGCCAAACCAGCCCAGCTCCAGTCTGGGTAAGGCCCTCCCCACTTGTCTGGGCAAACCCCGTAGCTGGGAACACAGAGCAGGGATCCGTTCCTCCATTGATTGGTCCAAGCCTGATTTAGGTTTAAGCTCTGCTACCCTGGTTCGTAATCAACGGTCCCTTTTTAATCAGACAGATGAAAGGTGGCGTGGCTGGGTGTTTACAACAAGCAGACGCAGTTAGGAGCTGTGTGCTATTCCTGGCCATGCCACTTGTCTTGCTGAGTGGGGCCAGGTAAGTCG